GGGTTTGCCTGTGACACCATGCATCCAGCTCTTCACAGGGAACTTGGCACTCACCAAGCTTTTTTCCTCCAGCGTGTTTAGATTGGTTATCTAAACTATGTTTAGCATTCCAGAGGCTGTTAGGAGCAGCCCATGAGGAGCTTTTCTGATTGCCTGAGAGGCAGAGAGGTGTAGCTTGGAGTCTGCATTAATTGAGTTGTTTATCTTTTGCTGAGGGTTTGCCTGTGACACCATGCATCCAGCTCTTCACAGGGAACTTGGCACTCACCAAGCTTTTTTCCTCCAGCGTGTTTAGATTGGTTATCTAAACTATGTTTAGCATTCCAGAGGCTGTTAGGAGCAGCCCATGAGGAGCTTTTCTGATTGCCTGAGAGGCAGAGAGGTGTAGCTTGGAGTCTGCAGATCAGCTGGCAGTTAATTGAGCTGTTTGTCTTCAAGTGTGGACTCATCAAAGCTAACCTGCCTTGTGGTGTGTGGTCCAGTGACAGTGACTTAAAGGAAGCTGTGAAGGCAGCATGCACTGACTGCTGGCTCAGAGATATCAAAGGGGGAGGAAGATGCTGCCCCACTGTGCTAGAGAAAAGGTGCAGAAGGACTGTTGGTTTCTCTGGGAGTGGATTTACTTGGGGTGCAGGGAGGACTTGACCTTTGTTTCCACTATGTGTCTGCAGCCCTTTTGTCATACCTCAAATACCACTTACTCACCAAACTCCACCCGTGGCTTCTTTCCAAGAGCCTGTGGTGAGCACTGAGCATGAACTGCTGCAAGTGCTCACAGGAACATCACAGGTTAAACACAGGCTAAACCCTGGCTGTGGGGCTCTGTGTAAACCAGGGGTTCTGTATGGCACCTCAAGGCTCTCAGCTCCAGCCCTGTCCTGCCTCTTCCTCCAGACATACAAATCCAAGGGGAAAGCAGTCCCAGCTTCTTCACACTGAGGGTGTGTCCATCCATGAACTGCTGCCTGTGTTGTGTGCTCATGTACTGTGAGATCACTGCCTGGACAAGAACCATTTTGGTCTTGTATTTGGTTTTGTATCTACCTTGACACACTCCTGTTATTTTTACCTTCTTAAGTCTATCTACCTCTGGCTGAAAATACTGGCCAGAAACTGGCCCTCACCTGTCTCAAATGCAGTTTCTCAGCAATTCCAGTAGAGGACAGGGAGATCTACTTCCATGTTGGTTTCAGATTAGTAATTATGTTCTTCCATTCCCTCTCACTTCAGGTTCCTGTGTCCCCATGGAGATGACAGCCTGCCCACAGCAGGCTTTTCTTTTTGTTTTTGGGGTGTTCTTTTAATGTTTGGGGTCCTTTTTGTTTTGGTTGGTTGATTGGGGGTTTTGTGTATTTCATTTTTGTTCTTTTGTGGTTGTTGCTGTTCTTGATGCCCTTGCTAAATTGTTAATCTGTGCTTGTCTTTGACTTTGTCCCCACTGCAACTGAATTGGTACTCAGCTCATGTGAGCTGCCCTTGCTATTCATTGGGAAGGAGTGACACTCACTGGCCAGAGGATATAGTGCCATAAATTAAGTGAATTTAAAGGGTCCTTTGAATGGTTTAGTGTGTGATTTGGAAATGTGAGGAAAAAAAAACAAAAACAAAAACAAAAAAGATAGAATCTCAGTACATAAAACCAGGAGAGAAGCAACAATAAGCTCGAAGTTACAAGACCTGCAGGCTGTGTTGGCAGCTTGGGGTCCCTTAGTAAAAAAGAGGTGCCAATTGTCCTCTCTTTTACATCCTAATGCATCTACAGCTTGTCTCTGTATAATTTTTTCTCCTCTTTTTTTTTTTTTTTTTTTTTTTTTTTTTGTAAATCTCTTTTTAATTGGTTTTTCTGAAGCCTAAAAGGAGTTATGGTTCAAGATGTTGTGATAATATCTACAGGGTATGTAACAATACTGTGTATGTAACAATACTGGGTATGTAACAATGCTCTGAAGCCTAAAAGGAGTTATGGTTCAAGATGTTGTGATAATATCTACAGGGTATGTAACAATACTGGTTTTTATCTTTGCTTCTCTTAGAGTGGAAAATGTGTAAAGTACACTCTCATCCTCAAGGTCTTGGTAGAAAATATTTAGACTGTGAATTCTATGTGGATTTTTATGTATTACTAGTGAGTGCAGTGAAAGAAGTTAAAGGTATTTTGAAAGAATAGAATTGAAATGGTAGGGATCTGGACAAAATTAAGAGTGTACTCAGAGGAAGTGACTGTCTGTACATTTCTGCTGGAGTTATTTGATGTGCTGGTTTCAGGGACAAGCCAAGTTAAAATGTTCCCTTCACCATTGACTGAAGGATAGTCTGAGCTGCGGGAGTGTTCTGTGGGCCTTCAACACAGTCCTGATGTGTGGATAAGTCTGTTCACCTTTTTGTGTCTTTCTCCATGTACCCATCACTGGGATTGCTGATTGAAGTAAAAGGTGTCTGGATAAAGAAGCTCCCTGGTGGATCACAGCATCCAGTGGAGTGGGGTACTCAGTACTGATCTCATATTAAATGTATAAGAAAAAGAGGTTATTTTGACCCTGCTTACCTTACTTTTACATGGAAGGCAGTGGTGCTGTGTTAAGAAAAGGCTGAAGTTCTGCAGTTTTCCAAGCCTGGACTCTTCTGGTGTTGGACACTAGCAATACCCTTATGCTTTGAACCCCTTATTAACTTGTTCTTTTCCATTTGCCAAAGGCTGGCTTGTATTTCAGTATCTGTCCTCAAGGCTTTGCTCTGACTTCCTTTCTTGGAGCATCATTCTCCAGGAATGCTGGGTTCTGTCCCCTCTGCTGGTTTGTCTTTTTGGGCAGTGCAGCAGCTCAGGTTTTATTATGCCTTGGACAGATCTCTGTACCCCTTGTAACACAGCACTGCTTTCAGAGATAAATATTTGGGGATGAAACTGTTGAATAATATGTCTGGCAACTTGTGCATGTTGAAGAAAAAGGAGTAGCAGGGCTGAGTGAAGGGTTGTGAAACTCATAAACCATGAGAGCATGGCTGAGATCTGTCCTGAGCTGAAGGTGCTGTTGTCCTTGACTAAGATGTATTATCTAGATCCCTTTTCTCTTATATCATGTCTCAGGATAGGTAAATATTGGAGAAATGAAAACTTGATTCAGAGACAATTGTACATGTCAAGTTCTAACCACTACTTAGGAAATCTCTCTATTAATGGTGACCCTAATTCTAAAATCTCCACTTGTAATTAGATAGTGTCAGAGTCCTTCCAGAGCCAGATAAAAGGAAGCAGAACCTTTTGTTTTTATAACTTCAAATTCACTTTAGGCTTGAAGAGGTCAGCTGTTGTCTGTGTGGCAGCTGAGAAACAATTGTCTCTCCTTGCCTGTGTTAGCAAACACTTGCAATTACCTTGCAGTGTGTGAATGATCAGACCAAGCATATCAAAGAATTGTTTTCAGTGTTTATTATCACCTGTTCAGTGTTCCTGGGGTTCCTAAGGCAGTCTAAAATTCTGAGGCACTCTAGAAAGAGAAAAAGGAAAGCTGAAGGGCTCCATAGATATCAATATTGTCCCATTTTCCCTGGTTCTAGTCATGGTTTGAATGTGCTGCATAAAGAATATTGGTTCAGCCTACACTCTGAGGTAACAAGGCAGACATTTTTTGGGGGTTTTCCATATCCAAGCAGTTATTTGCAGTAGATTTTCTATCCTGTATCTGTGTTGTGAGAACTTTGTTTCTCTGGACATACAGATCTATACATATGAAGTGCATCTGTGAGTAAATAAGTGGAACAGGCTGCCCAGGGAAGTGGTAGAATCACCATCCTTGGAAGTACTTGAAAAATATGTAGATGGGGCACTCGGGGTTTTGTGGCATACCTGGGATTGTGAGGTTGATGTTTTGACTTAATGATCTTTGAGGCCTTTTCCAAGCTAAAGGATTCTGGGATTCTGTATCATGTGCTCCTTCATATCTTTGTGTATACATGACTGCTGAGCCCCCAAGCCTCAGGTGGAGATGCTCCTGGGGAAAGGCCAGAAGCACAGCATGGGCTGTGAGAAGAGAGGGAAAAGTAAGAGTGTGAAACAACCTCTGAGCATGAAGGTAAGAGAAGCAGGAGAAGGGGTACAAGGTGCTGCAGGTCCCGGAGCAGAAATTCCCTGGGGAAGGTTTATCTTGAAGGACTGCAGCTCCTGGAAGGGCCCACAGTGCAGCAGGGGAGCAGTGTGAGGAGAAGGAGGAGGAGGAAGGAGAAGGGGCAGAGACAAAGTGTCATAGTCTGACCACAGCCCTGCATCCCCTACCCCTCTTTGCTGCTTGGGAATGCGTGAGGGAGGGAGGCACAGGAGCTGGGAATTAGGGAAAGGGAGATCAAGGGGACATGTTTTAGTCTTCTTTCCCATGCTTTGTGTAGGATTTAAGGTTTGTTCCTGTCAAGATTCCTCTGTGTCTGCTCTGTAGCCTGTGCAGGCACCGCTAACCAGGGGCTCTGCCCTCAAGCTTAGTGACCAAACTCCTGGGCTTGTGTCAGCTGTGGACTTGATGAGATGCATTTCATCTCTTCTTGTGGAACACTGATGAAAGTGTCCACTGGGACCATGGAAAAACTCCAAAGGAATTAATCTTGTCACAGTCTCTAGGTTGTACAAGAGTTTTTCCCTTCCTGATAAGCTTTTCCGCCTGTAATTTTCATGTGAAACTACCAAAACCCACTGAGTGTAGTTTGTGTCTCTGTTAAAGTGGTAAGCAATCAGTGAAACATGAAACATTCACTATGACAACCTTCCTTGAGAAATATATTTGACAATGTCCTCTACCTATTGATTTACTGTGTTCAGCCTTCCTGTCATTTTTATGCCATGTTTCTGAAAGCTGAATGAATACAAAATGATGATACTCATTTGAGTAGGAAGAATTGACTGATTAAGCACAAGGTATTTGTGATAAAAAAGTTATGTGAATGAGAGAGAAAAAACTAGATCTAGATTTACAGTTCAACTTGACAAGTCACTAAACACTGTTTTCTTTTTACAGATTTCTCCTGGTGCTGATTTGTTTAATATTCAGTGTACTGTCTACTATAGAGCACTATTCTGAGTTTGCCATTGGAACCCTTTTCTGGATGGTAAGTGAACTTCTTTGGGGAAGGGTTGATCAGTTTGACTAAACCTGAATTGCTTTTGGCAAGCAAGGGAAATAATTTAAAAATTCTCATGCAGAGCATGCTAGCAGGACATTTAAAAGAGTGCCTGCTTTCATTAAAGAAAGGTTACAGTTTAAGGGGGATTATTATTTTCTAGATCCTTGAACTATGAGGACACTTGTTAGATCACCAGTTTTTATGAACTTGCTTTTCCCAAAGTACATCTCTTATAGTGGACTACTGGTGTTCATCAGTCTTAGGCAGCAAGGAACAGGATATTCTGTAGAAATGAATTTTTAAACTGGGTATTTTCTAATTCTTATGGTAAAAATTTGGCCAAGAACATGGCTTTTCAGAGGCAGGTGATTTCTGTCAGCCTGGTTTGCTACTCTGCAGAACAGGAAGGAAGAGCTCCTATCACACTGCTGTCACCAGTGATTTGGATTTGAAGTTGGTGCTTGCTTGGTGGGAATCAAAAGTACAAATAACTTGCATGAGGACACTAGACAATGTCCCTCCTCTATTCCCCCCTGCCTCTATTCACCTTTAGGGAGTGCAAAATGGAGATTAAACATCCTTGATAAAAATGGAATAAATAACTTTCAAACTGTTCCTTGCAAAATCTGTATTTTAGCCACTCAAATCCTCTGATCTCAGTGTGTGATGATATCAGTATTCTTATTGTAGTTTCCTTTTGCCAGATGGTGAATTTTGATGTGAGAGAATTTGGTTTTCCATCTGGTTTGAAAATAAAAATCAGTTACTTCTTTGTTTTCCTATGGCTTAGGCTACATTAGCATGTGCAGGTTTTGCGTGCAGTTGACTGAGGCATCATTAGATCCCAGAGTTATTCTGAGGTCTTGATTAAAGTTAATCCTGTAGCAAATGTTGCTTGGCCTTTAAGCCACAATTCAGTGTCAAGCAAAGTGCAGTGTTCTGCCAATCATGTGTGGTCCTCTCCTGTTCCCTGAGATGTGGTGATTGCAGGTCAGCACGGGCACTGCTGGGAGCAGTGATCCTGGCTCAGCTGATTGTTTCTGTGCAGATGGAATGTGCATGTCCAGATGCATTTTTGGACAAAGAGTAATGAGATGGAGACAGATGTGAGGCTCTCAGAGTGCCCACATAGCACTGCCATGCTAGGAATCATGCCAAATGAATAATGCTCAGTCAATGAAACAATTTCTTGGCCTCCTTGTGTCACAGCCTTACCCTGGGGGATGCCTCTCTGGAGTTTTTACTCCTGCTGTTTCTTTAGTTTCCTTCCTAGAAATGTCCAGTACACAGAGTAGCTGTTCTGGCTACTGTAGAGTCACTTGCCTAGAACACGTCTGTCTTAAAACTTGGTTTGGTCTGAAATAAATTCACCAAACTTGGTTTGGTCTGAAATAAATTCAAATTCAACATTCAATAAATTTAATTACAGAAGATTTGTCCAGTACACAGAGTAGCTGTTCTGGCTACTGTAGAGTCACTTGCCTAGAACACGTCTGTCTTAAAACTTGGTTTGGTCTGAAATAAATTCACTTCAATTACAGAAGATAGTTTTTAGAGCTAATTAAATCAGTTCTTTTTCTCAGAGTTGGGAGACTTCTTGTTGCCAGGAGTTAAATGGTTGGACTCCTGCTTGGAGCACATCTTCCCACCTTTACCTGAAGGAATTCCCAACTGGCTGTCCCTTCTGAGCCAGGAAAGTGTTCACCTCACAGAAGTGTGGAGATTGCTGTTCTCTTTACTCCTGGGAGAATCATTACTCTCATCTACTTCATATCACAGCTGACTGTTCATAAAACTAGAGTTTTATCTCTCCAAGTGCATTCTGCCTGCTCTCTTGAAACTGGGAACAGAGGACACTGCCAGTGTGGTGAAAATCAAAATTGGGCCAGAGGATCTAGTGGATCAAGTTCAAAGTGCAATTGGTTTGTTTTTCTTGTTAGTGAAGGACCCTGTAATTCTTTGTATAGCCCTCAGCAGCAATAAATACTGGCATGTGATGCTTGTGGTATTTCCCCACTTGTGAGAAAACTGCTTTTCATTATATTCCGGTAGATTAACAATTGGGAAGGATCAACGTCAAAAATGTCCTGTTGCAAGTTGCTAAGGCCTGACAAGAGGGATAATACTTGGTACTTGAAGACATGGAAATGCTTTTGGGTTTTCATAGAGAGGATGAGATGGTGTGCCAAGTACAATTTTGGATAATATGAGTCACTGGAGTAGAGATGAGACATTGGTAACAGCTGTAGTACTAGATGTGTCCTAAGACACCAGAGCCTGGTGTTTCAGAGATGTCGTTTTGTTAATGTTCTTAAGAGGTCTGGATGGCTTAAGGGAATTTATTGTCCAGTGTGAAACTGATTCAGACAAGCTCTGTGAACATACCATGGAGGGAATATCAGAGTGTTTGTAGCTAGAATAGAAAAAGGGGATTGAAGAAGCAGTTGCTGGAACTCAGAGTAAAATAAGCCCCAAATGTTTACTCTCCCCTCATTTCCTAAGCATATGTTCTCAAGTCTCTGACAATTCAAGTGAATTCTGGAGGAAAGGAAGGTGATTTTTAGCCCTGTGTTTCAGTGTGAAGGCCAATCTCTTGTCTTTGAGATGACTGAAAACATTGCATAGCCACAGGTTCAGGTGCAGGCTGATGCTGGGCCTCCCCTCTGCTGTAGTTATTTTATTTGATGCTCTTGCTTGGGCTCAAAGGAAATGTCTGTTCTTTGTACTTACAAACAGAAGACAACATGTAAATCTCTGTCACTGTGGTAAAATCAGTTTACTTTCACTATAGCAGGATTGGTGAAATTGCTTGTATTGAACTTGAAATGTTGTTGTTTGAAGGATGTTTTTGTTCTCAAGCTGTAAAATATTTTGTGTGTTCCCTGTCACTCTTGCAAGAGTTCTTCCCAGCTCTGTCTGATGTAGTCCAGTTTAATTTTTTTCATGTATACACATTGTATGAGATTTATTAATTCCTGACTGGGTTTCTTTCCCTCTGCTGAGTATTTTGTAGGCAGCATTTGAGGGGAGTGACAGTGGCATTGGCACAATGGCTTGTATTGGTAAACACCAACAGAATGGGTGATGAACACAGCTTTTTCTGAATCTTTTATACTTGCTGAGAGAAGCCCAGCGTTTCCAATACTGTTAGAAATGGATCACAATGACAATGTGCATGCTATTTAACAATGTACGAAGCTTAAATGAATGTGGCATTGGTTTTTGTTCAGATTGTGCCTGTAGTGTGTTATGAAAATGAGCCTGTAGCTTCCCCAGCCTTGCTTGGTCCTGTATCTGTACCAGAGGAAGATTTCTCACTGGGCTATCCAGCAGTACTGAGGATCTGATGCATTGAAAAGTTCTTGCACAGTGTGTGGGGAAACAAGTGCAGTGGAACAAGGCAGAGTTGTGAATAAAGTATTTGCAACATTCAAGAGGATCCTGAGTTACAGCTGAGTTTCATTCCCTGTTGCCCCAGGTTTAGGTAATATTTTTTTCCTCCCATTTTTGTCTCAAGTTCTAATTCTCTAATAATACCATTATAATTTTATCTGGTTCTCTGATTATTCTGTTGAAAAAGTGTTTCTAAAAATTGCCAAAGCCTCTTGATTAGGCTTTTGCCTCTACAGGAAGAGGCCATAATGTTTTCTTGATGATCTAAGTAGTTTGTGTGTCAGTTTGTTTTGATTTGTAAATGGCATCTAGATCTTTTAGGATATAGAATGAAAAAATAAACCATGAAATCAGCCAGGTGTACCTCCTTTGAGGATTAATCTGTTTTTATGGTTAGAGGCCATATATTTTTCTACCAGGAGAGGTCACCATGGTAGTTTCTAAAAGACCAATTTTTATTTTTATTTAATTGCAAAAGACCTTGCAAAAAAAAAGAGCTTCTTAGCTTGTGGGACAACTTTCACTAACTGTGCCAGTCTAAAAACAACAACAAAATATTATTTTCATTATACACATGATGTTTTTACACACTGTAACAGCACAAAAAACATACAATTTATATAATGATAGTGTTACAGGAGTAAGGGAAAAGTTTTGTCTGATTTAGTATCTTGACGTTAATTATTTTTTAAATTTAAGAATACTGAGTGTATTCTTAACTTGGAGAAAATAGACTGGTTTTGCTGTAAATCATATTGATTAAACTGGTGAGTTCAGACCCTGTGGTACCTCCCTTTTGGAGACAGACTTTATGCATCTGATTTCCTTTGAAAAAGGAAAACAGAAGAGTCAATATACAAAAGAATTTCATTTCTTTGCTGGAAAAAGTGCTGGCGTCTCTCCCAAACACATGAACACCTGTAGTTCACAGCACTGCAGCACCAGAGGGTACACAATTCCCTCAAAGACTCTCTTTTCAGAGTCCTCACTTGTTGCCTTGTGGAAGAGTCCTTACTGCCCCCTTGGTTGCTGGAAATTCTCATGTAGTGACTACATTTAGCATGGATCAGCACGCCTGTGCTTGCAAATTCTATTGGAAAAAATGCTGAGATGTGAAATCAGAAGTTCTCACACCAGCTACTGCTCAAGTTTTTGGGCCAGAGACTCACCTTGGGGCTGTATTTAGGAGGAGGATCTTGTGGAAGAGTTTTTGGCTGCAGATGGGTTCTTGTTGTTACGTGGCTGTCCCAAAGTCACTGCTGAGTTTTGGGTTTATATGATTTTTTTCTGCATCACGTGCCATGAACACACACATCCTCCTGCTCTAAATATAGGCAAGGCTGTCCAGAGTACTCAAACTTCAGAGTGCCAAATGATAATTGGCTTACTTAGGCCAGCTAAGGCATGTCACTGTTTAACTGCTCTGGTTCTGAACTGGACATCTGGGTGGCTTTTCTCTTTGGAATAACAAAATTTTCCAAGTGAGGGTTCTGAAAGGAGGCCAGTGGAGGCCTTCCTCCACTGAGGACTTCCTATCTGCAGTGGAGGAGCTCTCCTGTTACTTTTTGTTTGTCTCTGGTTTTGCCCCATCT